GCTGTTTTTTTTTTTTTTTTCTTTTTTTGACATGACAGTTCCCTCTTCGTCCCTTTCCAAAGCCTGAGGAGGGAAAGTTTCAGGCAATTGTTGTTATCTTTTTCTCTCTCCTTCATTCAGGAGGCCAAGATGTAAGGGCTTGTCCTTGGATAGGGTGGGTACCTTATTCTAAACAAAACGTGTTAGTCACTTTTTCTGACTCTGTGACCAAAATACCTGAAAAAACAACTTAGAGGAGGAAAGGTTTATTTTGGATTAGAGTTTCAGAGGTTCCATTTCATGCCTCTCTGCCTCCATTGCTTTGGGCCTGGGGTTAGGCAGAACATCATGGTGGAAGGGTGTGGTGGAGACGAGGCAGCTGGGAAGCAGAGGGGGTGGGGAGACAGGGAGGATCAGGGATAAGAAATGGTCTCCTAGGGCACCACCTCGGGACCTGCTTCCTGCCTACAGTCTACCACCTCCCAGTGGTCCATTCAGGTATCAGTGGATCAATCCACTCTAAGATCAGAGTCCTCACCATCCAGTCACTTCCCCAAAGCCCCACCTGTGTTGCTGCATTGAGGTTGAAACCTTCCACACATGATCTTTTGGGAGGCAGTCCAAATGCAAGTCACAGCACGAAGGAAGGTGGTCATTGCAAGAAGTTGTCTGTAGCTCATACCATAGTTCCTGCAATTTGGACCTTGAGTGTCCCCCAAGGCCCAGGGATGGAAGGCCTGGCATGACGGGAAGCTGGTGGGATGTTGAAGAGGTGGGGTGTTGTAGAAGGAAGTTAGGTTACTGGGGTGTGTCCTTGGGGGGGAAATTGGGATTCTGTCCCCTTCCGTCTCTTGGCTGTCATGAGGTGAATCGACCTCTTTTGCCACATGGTCCTACCATCATGTCACAGGTGCCTCAGGCCCACATAATGGAGCCAAGTGGCCATGGACTGGAGTCTCTGAACCCATGAGCCAAGATAAACTTTCTCCCTTTTCAGTTGATTATCTCGGGTACTTTTTCACAGTAATGGAAATATGACTAACACCATCTTTGACAGAAGAGTATTTTCTCTTGGCTTAGACCTGGCACACTGAAAAATTGTGGGAAAGAAAAAAGGATTTTCTCTAGCCTGTTATTGATTTTAGCTCAGCCTGGGAGGTCGAGACGGGCAGGGTTCCAATCCCCCTGGGTGTGCAGTGCCTCTTGGTGGGAGCCCATGTGTTAGTGACCTTCTGTGGGTGCCAGGCATGGGAGCAAGCAGTGGCCCCCACTTCCACAGAGGTGGTCACGCAGGCCTACTGAGGCTTGCTCCTGCTCCCACTTCATCATGGCAGTCACTCGCTTGTTTTAACCTGGGGCTGTGATAAGACTCCTGCTGCCTCTCAGCTGGGTTGCTCTGGGTACCCCGAACCTCCTTGGTCTTTAGTAGAAATGAATTATGTTTAAAGCATAGCTATCTTAACATGAATCATTTAATGAAATTTCATATCTTAAGCCTTAAGTTGGGAGGATATGGAAAGATGGGTGGCATCATGCCTCTACCTCTGGGTGGCAGTTCCAGAGTGGCCTTCGATTTTGCAGAGCATAACAAGAGTGGAAATCTTTCTTTTTATTTTACAGCCAAGAGAAAACTGTTCTTATGCAGGTGCTTTTACCCAAGCCTTTTATCTGGGCTCTGGCTCCACTCCCTCTGCTTTCCTTTCCTGCTCTCCTGCTCAGTGGGTCTGGTTCCTGCAGAAGCCCAGCTCATGGCTTGGTTTTGCTTTGCGGCTGGTTGTTGGTTTGCTTCTTTGCACAACTCTAATAGTTGAATGCGGTTTCAATGGGAGCATTCTCGAGTCCCTTACTTTCTTCAGGTCTTTTTCTATTTACCCTGTGACTTAAACATGCATAGAGAGCTGTGTATGTAGTTAACACTCAATAAAAAGTGAACGAATTGGGACTCTAAACCCATCTGGACCTTTAGATCTTGTCATTTTTGTTGATGTTTACATGAAATTCAGTAACATTTTTATTCTTTTTGTTATTTATTTATTTTTTCATTTATTTTGTGCTGGTGATTGAACCCAGGGCCTTGTACATGGTAAACATGAGCCCCACCACTGAACTCCATGCTCCGCCCCTCTGCCCTTTGACCCTTCCATTGTCACTTCCCACACCTTTTGAAAGCCCAGCTCCTCATGCTGTTGTGTTAGAAGTTCAAGTCAAGCATGGGTTGGGGAGGGGACATTCAAACCACTCCATTTCGTCTTCGCTATCCTAAAACTTTTACCTTTCCTAACTTTTACCTTTTAGAGATGACTTGATTTCATGTTCTCTGTCACCAACAACTAAGGGAGACACTCATGCTCTATTCCACATCCCTCCGCCTGTTCCTTCCTTGAGTTCGTGTTGTAAGGATTCTGGGTCTTGTCCTGCCGAGTCTGTTTCCTTCAAGCTGAACACTGACTCCATTGGCTGAGGCCAGTGACTTTGCTCTGCCTCTTGTGATGCTGGTGACATATACCCTTGTTTTAAACCTGTTACTTCCCTGCTCCAATCTCACTTGACCTTCATGGTGCCACCCTTCCGTGTTCGCCTGTCTCTGTTCTCTTTTGTCATCTTCGTGTGGTCACTTTTATGATGGCTTCCTCTTACACAAAGCACTCTACCCCACCCCATGCTTCCTCTTTGGTGAGCATCAACCAAATTTATGATTTCAACCATGCTAAATGTGGCCCGTTATCTCGGAATTGTTTCTCTCAGAGCACCCAATCTGGATTTCAGCACTTTACTGCATTTCCCTAAATATTCCTACAACATCTTAAACCCAACATGTGCAAGACTAAATGATATTTTCTTCTAAACAAAATCTTTCTGTGCATCATCATATTTAAATGAATGGCAGTGTTGTCCTCAGAGACTCTTACATTATTCAGTTTGAGTCCATATCCATCTATGCCTCTCTGCTGTAGGTTTCTGAAATGTGGCAGATTAGAACCATGGCCATTTTACTATATTTTACATTTTTGGAGTCAGGAATTTGGCAGGTGTTTTAGTCTTTTTTTTTTTTTTTTTTTTTTTTTTTTTGCCACTGTGGCTAAAAGATCTGACCAGAACACTTGTAGAGGAGGAAAAGTTTATTTAGGGGCTCATGATTTCAGAGGTCTCAATCCATACACAGCAGGCTCCATTCCTTGAGGCTCATGGCAGAAGAGTGTGGCAGAGAGATGCAGCTTACATATTAACGAGGAAGCAGAGACTCCACTTGCCAGATATAAGTATATACCCTAAAGTCACGCCCCAATTCCCACCTCCTCCAGCCATGCCTTAGCAATTCTGTTACCATTCAGTTAATCCCCATCAGGGGATTAATCCACTCATTGCGTCAAGACTCTCACAACCCAATCATTTATCCTGAACCTTCTTGCATTGTCTCAGACACAAACTTTTGGGGGACATCTAAACCATACTAGCAGGGTTTGCTTGGATGATTCTTAATCTTGTGGTATTTACTAAAGTCATCTGGTGAGCTTCAGTCTGACTAATGTATTTGGTGACTTGGCAGGGATAACTGGGTCAGTGGGACTTGCCAACCAGATCACCTGTGGTCTCTCAGGCATGGCAGTCTCAGGGTCGCAGGACTTCTGGCATGGTGTCTTAGTCCTCCAGAGGAGGCGCTTCAAGAGACAGGAAGTAGAAACCGCCAACCTGAGTTTGGAAATTAGCACCCCACCACTTCTGTTGTGCTCAGACATCGAGCAAAGCCATCATAGAAACACCCCATTCAGTGGAGGGAGCCTAGACTGCCTCTGGGTGGGAGGGAAGTCAGAGTATGTGTCCATCTTTAATTTGCTCTTCTTGCTTTTACCACCATGTCTATCATCTGCTCTGTGTCTTAACTTTTTATTCACATTGACAACACCTGAAGGCACAGCTGCATTTATTTATTTTCTGAACAACTGCAGTAGCTTCCAATTCACCTCTGCGCCTCTGTACTCTCCCTGAAGCAGTTTCCTAAGTCCACTGCAGTGAGGATGATCTTACCTAGGTGGGTTCCAGCACTAATACCCTGTGGTAGCTTGTCCTCTATGAATGAAGACTTCGCAGCTAATGTAGTTTGCTTTCCAAACCTGAACCTGCTCCTGAAGCGCCTCCTCTGCTCCCTTTGTACTCCCTGGTCTGGATGAGCCCCGTGCAACATTCCAAAGGCACTGCATCCTCCTTCTGTCCTCTCCAGTGTGCCTTTGACTCCCTTCCTTGGCATGGAATGGACTTTTGGAAATCCTCTTCATCCTTCAGGATTATACTCACATATGAACTGCTCCATGGACCTGTCCTTTACCTCTCTAAATAGCAGGAGTACTCTTCCTTAACTCCTGTAACACTCCAGGTAGGGTGACTGTTCTGTGTTATGAGCGTTTCTTATTTTGAAGCTTGTTAATCGTTTAAACTGCCAAGAATTTTTAAATGCTCTCAACCCCAATGTAATACCTTCATTTGACCCAGTAGGTTCTCAGTTTAGATTGTGTTTAAGATTCCATCTCTAGCCAGAATATTTCTAGGCAGATCATCTATTAAAGGATATATGTATCAAATATGGCATTATGAGTGTTTTGGGTAGGGTAATCTTAATCAGGTTATTTGTGAAGAATAATGGTTGTAAGGTTATTAAATAGAATGTTTGAATATTAAAAAAAAAGGAATGAGCAAGAATTTTTAAGGTTTCCACATAGAGCTTTAAGTTTGCCCAAGGGAGTGGTGACAAATTTCCAAGGTAAATCCAGTGGATGGTCACAACTGTTCAATTGGCAGTGCTTGGAAGTGACTGTGGTACTCAGTGGAGCTTAAAACTTGGGTTATCGCATGAAATTAGAGAGAAGTCTGCATACACACACACACACACACACACACAATCTGAAATATCACCGAGGAACAGACTCTGCCTGAGGTATCTAGGGCCTCTTGTCTCCACAAATCATAAACTTAAAGTTAAGAAAACCTGAACTCACATTCACCAGTTGTTCTCTTCTGTGTTCCAGGCACCTTTCACACATGAGGGAGGCACGAGCTTCATAGAAGGCAAGCACCTAGCGTCAAAGACCCCCTGCCCACCATGAAGGGTGCCTGCGCCATTGCATGGCTGTTCTCAAGCTTGGGTATGTGCAGACTCGTGCAGCCGGAGGCGCAGGATGCTGCCCAGTGCGAGAGAGCTGAGCACCCCGTCATTTCCTACAAAGGTAAGCATGCCCCACCTGAGAAGTGACCGGCAAAATGTGGATTCCATTTCACTGACAGAGGATGATAGAGTAACTATTGCTCTACTGCCCCGTGGGTCTTGATTTGGACATTGTTTAAGATAAAGGCAACAATAAAATTCCTCCATTGCAAGAATTCCATAGCCAGAAACTGATCGCTACTTAGTGAAGGATCCCAGAAGAAATTTCTACCATGGGTAGCAAACTCCTCTATTACTTGAGGCTGCCTTCATTTACAGATGCTGCAGGTCTCCTGGGAGCCAGAGGATGAAAGTGTAACCTATAAAAAGTACAGCAAAACCAACTAAAACAAAAAAGACTGATTGTTTGCATTTCCCAAAAAAACCTTAAAAAGTTACTGTAAAACTCACCCCTTGCCTCTAACATTGCCAGAGCCAAACTGATTCCCAACCTCAAGTTATCTCCATGGAAATCTAGGGCTAGTGAATTGGTCTGTAAAGCTACACATTTATTCTTAAATTCATTTGAATTTAGTGAGGGTCTTTTTATCCCAAACACTTGAAGCATTTAGGATGAAAAAAAATCAGTCTTTGCCCTGCATGCAGGGCTCTTACACTGACCTCGTCAGCCTAAGTCAGATACTATATTTTACTGATTCATTCAAAATAGCTTTGTATTTTGTTACTTCTTAAACTTTATACCTAAATTTCAAATATATATGAAAGTAGGGAGAATGGTCTAAGGAAAACCCAGCCCCACACTTACCAATTCATGGCTCATGTTTTTTTGTTTTGTTTTTATTTAAACCACCCCCCCATGCTCCATCTACACTCATCAAATTACTTTTATGCTAGTTTAACAATTCTTATAATTTTTATTCATCATATTTCAGTTTAAAACCATTAAAGATAAGGACTTTATAATAACATTCCCCCTCCCCCCAAAAAAATCACCAAACAAAAGTAATTGAGTATAATCATCAGATATCTAGGGATCTTGAAAAGTCTTGAGGGCTAAAGAAGTCCTGATTGCTGATTTCTGTTGCTTCCTTTTTTTTTTTTTTTTTAAATAAAATCAGGATCAACATGAAGTCCACTAATTTCAACTTGTTAGTATATTTCTTGAGTCTCTTTTGCTGTTTTTTATTTGTTTGTTTGTTGTTGTTAGATGGTGGCCTTTCATCCCAGTGAATCCTCCTGAGATTGGGACCTGAATTCTTCTGACAGCATCCACGCTGTCTTTGAAGTCACTCATTTCTGGCTGCTGGGAGCATAAGGAGTACCCACAGCTAGGCTTTTAGCGGACAGTGCTAAGGAAAGGCGTTTTCCAAAATGCAATTACCATAAGCTCCTTCTGATACTTCCAATTCGACTCCAGGACTCTAGGTCCTTTCTTAGCCTCTTCCATTTCTCCCTTCTCCTCTTGTTTTTCACCCTTGCAGGGAATCCCAAGTGGGCAGGCCCCATGATTATCCCTCTACCCTTTCCACAGAACACGCTCTCTCATTTCAGAATAGGAGCTCAAAGCCACTCTAGTTGCTTTTGGTTATTGAAAAGCCTTTAAGATATTTTCTCTTCTTGGTCCTCAGGATGTATAGTTCATTGGGGAAATCTAGGAGACTTAATTATCTCTTTAAAATCATTTGAAATAATTTCCTTCTGTGTAGCTACACCACTAGTCCTAAGTCAGTTACTTTCTTTTGTTGAATTTTGCTTTTGATGTTTAAAAATCCTTCATGTTGACATTAAATTACTATGCAGTTTCAAGGTAAATTAATGAAATGTGAGTGTTTGGAGGGCTCTATCTTTGCTCCCTGTTTTCTTTTCCTTTAGTTACACTTTATGATTTATACTTCCTTTGTAATATAAACAAAGCAGTATATACAGCATTATGAATAAACATGTATTCAAATCTCTCAGATAAAAGGCAGCAGTTGTTCCTAGGGAGCATTTTGGACACAGCGATGCCTGCTGTTTACCATGCCCTGGTAGCACACAGGAATTGATACCCTTCTGTTTGTGGCCATGCCGCTGTCCACCATGGTGAGCCCTGATCTTCCCTACTCAGTGATGCTTAGGTTGTTTCCTGCCATGTGCCAGCACTGGTGTTGTTTTGGTGAACAGTGCTCCCCACAAGCATTTCTTCATGCAGAAGCAGGGTACTGTGGGAAGAGGTTCCAGGGTCTCTGGGTGATTGTGTAGAGCTTTGTAGAGGTCGCCCCCTTCCCTCTCATGAAGCTTGCCCCACCTTGTGTTCTCCCTGCCCTGCATGTTAGGATCCAGTCTGCTGCTGTCTTCCTTGTGGAGTGTGAGGTCAGACTTTGGGATTTGGGTCAGACCTATGATTCATAAGTGGCATTGTTATGGTTTAGATATACGATGTCCCCCAAAAGCTCATGTGTGAGATAATGCAAGAAAGTTTATGGTGAAATCATTGGGTTATAAAGGCCTTAGATGAATCAGTGCATTAATCCCCTGAAAGGGATTAACTGCCCAGTAACTGTAGGCAGGTCGGGTGTGGCTGGAGGGGCAGTCATTGAGGTGTGCCTTTGGGGGGTATATTTTGTCCCTGGTGAGTGGAGCTCTCTCTCTGCCTCCTGGTGGCCAGGCTCTGAGCTGTTTTCCTCTCCCCCATGCTGTTCTTCAGCTTCTTGGGCACAGAGCAATGGGACTGGCCACCTACGGACTGAGACCTCTGGAACTGTGAGCCCCCAGATAAACTTTTCCTTCTCTAAAATTGTTCTTGTCCCATCTTTGGTTCACAGTGGGGAAAAATTGATTAAAACAGGTATCTCATTGTATTTTTAATTTGCATGGTTTTAATTTTGAGGGAACAGTCAATAAACATTCATTGGGTGTCTGTTAAGGAACAGGTCTGTGCTGAGTTTTGAGGTGATAAAGGCAAAGTCCCATAAAAAAAATGTCAGACTGTTATTAGGAGTGTGAGTAAAAAGGGCCACTGCATGACCTTCGGTCAGGTGTCTGCACTGGGTGCAGGGAGCTAGGGAGGAAGTAGCTAGGGAGTAGTAGCTCGGGTTGCAGGAGGGGCTCAGGAGGGTTTCCAGGAATGTTATGGTGTCTATGGAATCACGAGGGGAGAGGTACTCCAGGGAGAGGAAAGGGGCAAGTGATAAGCCCCATAGTTCAGGAAGGCAGCTTGCAGGTCCCAGCAGGCATCCTGTACAGAGTCATGGCTCCTTGGCTGAAGTTATGGGGGAGGAAGTAAAATGGAAGAGGCTCATATGGTTAGTGGGGACTTAATGGTGTCTGGCATTGTCAGGCATCTTGAAAAGGCCATGCTTTATTTGCGGGATGGCAAAATGGTAGCAGAGAAAGAAGAGCCCATTTCTAGGCTATGGCTGGATCATAGGGAGCAGGATGAGGAGCTGAGGCCAGTGTAGGGTAGCAGAAATGTCGAGAGTGAGTGGAGGTTAGAACCTGGAACAGGGTGTGGGTGGTTTAATGGGTGCAGCACTGAGGGTAGGAGGAGCTCTGAGTGTGATATGCACACTCATGCACCTTGACTGCATACAGAATCCATGAGAGAGGCAGATGTGAGGGATGTGGTAATTTTGGAATGAAAAGGCTGCCTTCCTTTGTGACTTTGGAAGGAATTGCCTAGTTGAGAGCAGCACTTTGGAACCAGGGAAGGAGAGCTTTCCAAGAGGGAGGAGGCCATCAGATTACCCACTGATGCAGTGTTCCAGAGAAGGCAGAGTGGCACATCTGTGCTGGTTGGCTGAGACTTTCCAGGTTGTAACACTGAAAATCCTCTATGCCTGCAACTGGGACCCTTAGGTGCCCTTCCAGAAATTCTGCCAGTAATGGAGTGTTCTCCTTCTATGGTTACTGCAACAAATTACCAAAGATGATTGGCTTGAAACAAAAGCAATGTTCTCTCTCACACTTTTGGAAGTTAGTGATCCAAAATCAAGGTGTTGGGAGGGCCTTGCTCTCTCTGTAGGCTCTGGGGAAGAACCTTCCTCCTAGCTGCTTGTAGTTGTTAGCCACCTTTGGCTTTCCTTGGCTTGTAGGAGCATCATCCGATCGCCTGGTCTGTGGCTCTGTGTTCTCCCTGTATGTCTGAGTCTTTTTGTCTTCTCTTACAAGGTCACCTTTCAAACAATCTCATCTCAAATGATTCATCTACAAAGGCACTATTTCCAAGAAATGCCCCATTCACAGGAACCTGGAATCAACTTCTGTGGGAACACACTCCCACCCATAACATGATATTTATTAGAGTAGGTTTCAGGTGGTGCTAGCAAGAAGAAACCTGATGGTTGTGGATAAACAGAAGGTTAAAAAAAAAATTAGACACAAAGAGAGAGAAGTATTATCTCAGCCAGGCAGGGACATGAGAGCAAGAAACAGCTTTTAGAAAAAGCATTTTTAAATCATCCTTCATTGGCGATGACAAAGAGCCAGATGAAGGAAGGGGCTGAAGAGAGAGAGTGGAAGAGAGAATGGAGTAGGCAAAGTCTCTGAGCAGTGGGAGGGGCGAGGATGCTGGGAACAGGTGAGGGGTTATCTATAAGAGGCAGACTCCACCCCCAGGGGAGAGGCCAGGGCACTCAGGATGCAGCTGTTAGTGGGTAGAGGGCGGGAAACTCTGAGTCCTTCTGTCTTGGTGGAGGAGAAGGCAGCCATAGACCAAGAGTCTGAGGGTTCTAGGAAGGAAGCGCTTCTCTGAAGGAAGGATAAAACTGTTGATGAAAAGACACCAGAAGTTTCCTTTGAATGGTGGAAACCCAGACAGTCCTGGAAATAGCTTATGTTACTGCTCAGTAGGTGGCCACCGTTTACATGAAAACTTGAGAGAGTAGGCTGAAACACTGATAAGGAAGACCAAACCGAAGAACTGGAGGGTTTTGACTTTAAGGTCTTGGTTTCCACATGCATTTAAAAATGTCATGATTTAGTGTTATGCACCAGGGGCATTCTGCCCCAGAGCCTGCTAATGAGGTGGACGGCGCTGCATTGACCTCTTAATGCGCTGAGCACAGTTTGTCAACGTCTTGC